TCTTTAAAAAACTTTTTAAAATCTTCTACATATTTTATAATTGAAGATTTTTAAGGTCTTGCCCATCTTTTGGGAGAGGTTACTGGGAATCAAACTCAGGCCTCATGCTTGCCGGGCAGCCACTGTTTTGCCTGGATTTATAATTGATCTTTTTCATGTTTTGATGATATAAATAGTAGTATGATTTTAAATAACAATTTCCTTTTTTTTTTTTGCTAGAAAGTGATTAAATATTGTATGTTGATCCTAAATCCTATCAGATTTTCAACATAGATTATCAGGGCATCTGTGAAAAAGGGTACTATCACTTCTTCCTTTCCAATGTGGATACATAAAATCTCCAATACAGAACTCAGTACAGAGGACCACTTTGTTTTGTCTCTGATCGGAGGGCCAAAATATTCTTTCACTATTAACTTACGGTATTAGCGTAGATTTTTCATATTTTTTTTTATCAGGTTGAGTAGGTTCTATTTCCTAATTTACTGATATTGTCTTCAGGAATGGATATTGGGTTTTTATCAAAGTTCTATTCATGTCTGTTGAAGTGATCAATATGCTCTGTGAAATTTTGTCAGTGTGAATTACATTGATTTATTATATTATTACTTACTTTTTAATATTTATTTATTTATTTTTGGGTGAGCCTGGGGATTGAACTGAATACTTTTGCACTAAGCTATATCTCCAGCCTTTTCTATTTTTTATCTTGAGACAAAGTTTCACTAATTTACTAAATTGTGCAGGCTGGGCTCGAACTTGTGTTCTTCCTGTATCAGCTTCCCAGAGTACTGCAATTATAGGGATGCATTACTATGCTTGGTTTACATCGATTTGTTTTAAAATAAGCTAATCTTTCATTTTTAGGAAAAACTCTAGCTATATTTTATATTATCCTTACTGTATATGGCTGAATTTGATTTGTTAAAAATTTTAAAGAATTTTTGTATCTGTGTTTGTGAGCTATATTGGCTTATAATTTTCTTGTAATATTTCTGTATAGTTTCAGTATTGGGATAACACTGGCTTTAACAAATGAGTTGCAAACTATTCCCTTTATGTTTTGGTCTGGCCAGTGTAGGGCTTGGTGAACTACAGCATGTGGGCCCATACACTATAACCAGCCATCTGTTTTTTTATGGCCCATATGCTAAGAGTGGTTTTATATTTTTAAATGTTAGACATTTATCTATGTGGTAGCCTTGATTTTTAGTCTTGCCTGCAAAACCTAAAATATTTAGTACTTGACCATTTTGGAAAAAGTTTTCCAACTTTTTTGATTTTTTTTTTTCTGAAGACCTTGCTTTTCTCAGTTTCATTTTTTATTTTTCCTCTACAGTTTTTCATTGTTCTTTGGTTTTATTGTTTCTCTTCTATTTAATTCGGGTTTTATTTGCTCTTTTTTCTTGTATTTTTAAGATAGAAGTTACAATAATCTGTAATAAATCCCACTCACTATATTTTCATTTCAGTATTATATTTTCATCTCTGTAAGTTTAACTTAGGCCTTTATTATATCTTTAATTGTTTTGGTCTATTCTTGTCTCATTTTTTTTGCGGGGGTGCCATGCGCGAATTGAACCCTGGCCTTGTATACCCTAGATACGTACCTTGCAGCTGAACTGTATCATCAGCCCTATGTCTCTATCTTTTCAACATGTAAAATACAGTCATGACACTTGCTTTTTGTATGCTACTTTAAAAATAATTAATTTTGGGTTTGGTTTGGTTGATCAATTTTTTTTTTCTCTATTATGGTTTGTTTTTTTCTGTTGCTTTGCAAACTTGGTAATTTTTAGTTGGACTACAGATGTCATTAAGTTTACCTTGTTGGTTACTAGAAGCTTTTGTATTTTTACAAATATCCTTAAGCTTTGTTCTTTAGTTTAGTTAAATTACTTGAAAGTTTGATTCTTTTGGGTCTTGCTTTTAAGAATGGTTATACAGGATTTAAGAAATGGTTTGGTCTAATTTGTCCTAAATGTTTAGTCTAGGGTTTCTATCCGGTGCCCTATGAATTACGATGTTTTCCAATCTCGCTGATAGTGTTAGGATCTGTTCCCATACAACCTTGTGTGAATGTCAGATACTGTTTCCATGAATCCTTTTAGAGAATTCTTGCACCCAACGTGGTGTTAACACTCTCTGCTCCAGTTCTTCAACTCAAGGAGTTTACTAGGCTCCACCTGGATTTCTCCTTCTCTGTACTGCATAGCCTGGGGCCTTTGTGGGACTCTCATCCTTTGCTTCCTTCTGTGGGGATCATTTCCTTTTATGTCAGATTCTACTTTTATTAGACCATCATTTCTCACATTTTTGTCTGGATTTTTTGTCTAGTTTCAGGCAGAATAGGTCAGTCTCATCACTTTTACTCCATCATGGCCAGAAGTGGAAGTCCCATATATCTTTTGCATAGTGAGGTTGGTAAGAGAACATTATTCCCTAAGTGTTCAGAAAAGAGATTATTTGTGCAGAGTGGCTCTTTTATGGATGGGTTTTAGAAAGAATAGTCCTCATGTATTTTTTTATATCAATTTCTCTAGTCCTTTTTTTAAAATCTATACTTTATTCACGGTTGAATTAGATTATTATATATAATAATGTAATATAAATCACTAGTTCCATTATGTTTCACTAGAATTAGATTGAATTTAGTACTTGATGAAAATCTGCTGAAAAGATCATATGCTATTTTTCATACTTGTTTTGCCCCTGATGTTATCCTATCAATATATGCAGAAATGAGATAAGGAGAACCTAGACATAATCTTTTATTGTCTGAATTTTTCTTTCACTAAATTATGTTCTGAAAAAGAATATTCAGGGCTTTATGACATGTTGGTGCCACAGTAAACCCCAAAGGGTAGTTTTATTTTATTTTAACACTTGTTTCCTAGAAACTAGTAACTGAAAGAGATAGGACCCAAGTTTTAAAAAATACATGTTTTAAAAACTGGCAGGATACACTTCATTTGTGAATGTATAGTGATTATGCACCTAACTACTGTATATTATGATTATTCACTTTGTGCATATACATAAAGGTTTCTTCATTCCTATTCTGTAGCCTGGGGACATTAATGACTGGCGGGTGTCATTTTTGTTGCTCCTATTCAATGTTAATACATACAGTTTCACAGGAAATCACAGTTACTCCACTGTAGCTTTTTTACTGAACACATAATAGAATTGTTAATAGTTAATGTGGCTTTATCAATTATACAAAAATGTTAGAAAAGCTATAAAAGCTACTGAACCAGCACTTTTGCATTGAAGGACTATATTGACATAGGAATTTGTTTTCCCAACTATAATTTAAAAATTAAATTCCCTGTGATGGTAAAAATAGAGATCTCTGATTTTTTCATTTGTTTTTTGAGACAGGGTCTTTCTATGTTGTTCAGGCTGTCCTTGAACTTGTGGCAGCCCTTCCACCTCAACCTCCCAAGTGCTAGAATTACAACCTGCTCAGATTTTATTTTGTGTGTCTGTTTTTTGAGATTTTAGCTCATCATACATACTGTCAGACATTTTGCTAAGTACATTATACACATTTTTCTTTGGATAAAGAATCAGCCATTATTTAACTTCACAACAATTTTGCTTTAAAAGAGGATACATGCATGTATGTATTAGTTTCTTGCCACAAGCTTGTTTTTTGTCTTCTGTTTTTTTTCCATTTTTGAGGCAGGGTCTCCCTATATAGTTTAGCCTGGCCTTGAACTTACTATGTAGCCCAGGCTGGCCTTGAACTAATGGCAGTCCTCCTGCCTCAGCCTCCTGAGTGTTGGGATGACAAGAGTGCGCCACCACACCCAATTTCACAAACTCGTTGCTTGAAAACAACAGAAATTTATTCTCTTATGGTTTTGGAGGTCAGAAGACCAAAATGAGGCACTGAGCCTGAAACCAAGGTGTGGAGAATACTTAATTTCATAGGGAAGCTCTAAGATAGAATTTCTTTTTACCTTTTCCAGCTTCGAAAAGATACGTTCCTTGCATTGTTCTTCTGTGTTCCTCTGTGTTCAAAGCAGCAGTCACGTAACCTTTTGCTCTTCTATAGTGAAAGCTCCTTAGTCCTCCCTCTTACCTGGTTACTTCTAATTGCATTTGCAGTCTGCTCAGATAATCCAGGGCAATCTCCCTATCTCAGGTTCCTTGATTTAATCACATGTTCAAAGTTTCCTTTGCCTTATAAGGTAACATGCACGTGCTCCAGAGATTAGAATGTGAGTATCTTTGTAAAGACACGATACTGCCACAAATCACATAATAGTAAAACATATTAGAAATAAGCATAGTTTGGAAAGAAGTAGAACAGACAGGTTGATAGTTGTAAGTAAAAGATTCTGGAGTTCCTTTGGTATGTTCCAACATTTTATGTTATTGACTGATCTTCTTTGTCACAGATAGCGATAAATAGGACATTAACCTTCAGGTTTTTCCCTAGTATGTTTCTTTTTATTGTCCTAGTATATCTCATCTTCTCTCTTGTCACTTCCTTCCGTATAAAACCACTGCTTAGTAATCTACAATCAGGACTTCATAAATGGAAGCACAGATTTACATAGCCCTATACTATGATTAATTTAGAATTACTTTGTATTTGATCATGTCCATACACATATTTATGCCTGTAATCCAAGTACTTGGGAGGTCTATGGCTGTACCACCCTGATCGCTCCCAATCTCATCCAAGTACTTGGGAGACTGAGACAGAAGGATCAAAAGTTTGAGTCCTACCTAGGTAATTTAATAAGATCCTATCTCAAAATAAAAAGATGTGGAGCCCTTGGGTTCAATCTCCAGTACCATAGAGACACATACACACACACATACACACACACACACACACAAACACACACAGATCATTTGGTACCTCATTTGTAGAATGTCTAATAATTTGTATAGTTACCAATAAATAGGTTTTAGCACAGACAGCATGTGTTTTATTATGTACCTTTAAAGCTAAGAGTTTACATTTTCTTCCCTGACTATAGGATACCAGAAGGCCCCATTGATCAGGGGCCAGCTACAGGAAGGGTACGTGTTTTAGAAGAGCAGCTTGTTAAGGCCAAAGAACAGATTGAAAATTACAAGAAACAAACCAGAAATGGTAGGTGACCATACACTGTTTCTTCCTGCTCAATGTATTGGCTTTAATTTTCTTTTATCAAAGTGTTAGAAATGCCGGTATTCTTTATTTTTTAACTGCAGGTCTGGGGAAGGATCATGAAGTCCTAAGAAGAAGAATTGAAAATGGAGCTAAAGAGCTCTGGTTTTTTCTACAGAGTGAATTGAAGAAATTAAAGAATTTAGAAGGAAATGAACTCCAAAGACATGCAGATGAATTTCTTTCAGATTTAGGACATCATGAAAGGTACTGTTCTCCCTATACAGTTGATTTGGATTTAAGTAATGATTATGATCTAAGAATGAGAAACTGAAACTTCCATTAATTTGTCTACTGAATGGTAAATGACACTGCTCAAAAATTAAGTACCTGAGGACTCAAAGCATAGTAATTGCCAAAAGCAAATAATCAACCAAAACATGTCACTGAAAATATTATTTAAAATGTATACTCGGAAGGTAGTGGTGTCAGCCAGCAACACACTGACATATCTTCCTATAAATGTCCTTCATACGTGGTCTGTATTCAAACCAAAATGTATAGTTTTGCACTGCAGTACATTGATTGAAATTCATACGAAAGCTGCAGTTACATTTCTATTCAGACATAAAAGCATTGGCACCTTTTAAATGTTCCTAATTAACAAGATTTGGATGAAAAGGAGCGTTCTGTTAATTGTTCTTCCATTTAGTTGCTAGAAAGAACCTGAGATCTACCTACGTAAATTTGCTTCTCCTATTTACACATTTCTAAATAAAATGCAGTTTATCTTTCATAGAAAAGAAAACATTTTGGTGCTTCAGTGTTTGTGCAGAATAAAATATATCTGATCATTATAATACAGTGAAATTTATCTTCTGGCCTATTATATTTAAAAGCCTAAGTTCTTGGTAGGATTCTGATGGCAATTACTGTCTCACTAGTGAACAATAAAAGAAAAAAATATTTTATTTGTACAACCTACTACTGTGAAGAGGAAACGAATTACCACATATAGACAAGAGATTCATGTATATTAACATCATCAACAATATTAGAATGATGTTGAAGACTTGCTGTGGTGTTTTAAATGAAATCACAAGCAAAATCTGTGTTTATTGGAATCATTTTAACATTAATGATTCTATGAAAGTAGATAGCATGGAGTTCAAGGAGCACTGAATTATTCGGCCCCACATTAGGTGGTCTCTTTGAAATTTTTAGCCCTGCTCACAGTCATGCTATATTTAGACTGTTAGGCCAAATGTTGACTAATTTTGTCCTTAATGCGTCTCTCCACCAAAGCTGACTCCAGGCACCAAGCTTCTATTAAATGGAGCTTGGTGCTTGTGTGCTTTGCTTAGTGCAGCTTTGTAGTAAAATGCAGATTTAAAGAAAATTTGATATGAGCAGCGTCTTTGTGTATGTAAAAAGAAATCTTAAATACTACTAATGGAATGTTTAAATAATTAGGTACTCTGGACTTCAATCTTCAGGTATTTTCCAAACTTTTAGAAAATATTTTATAAATATAATTTGTGCATGTACTTTGTAACTATTTGTGCAAATGAAAAGTGAATAAATAGGCCATAAGAAATTGATGTCAGTGTTACTTTTTTTGTTGAATTTTGTTTTAAATGTATTATAATTCCTGACACTGCCATTTCGTATATATTTGTAGGATATTTCACTGGAAACAAAGTAAGGAGTCCAGGTACCAGAGTCAGTGTTTTGAACTGCCTTAAACAGAAATTGTAATGAACTTGGAATACAACGTCACAGGGTAGTAATTTTCACTCCAGAAAGTCAGATTAGAAAGCAGTAATAAAAATAGTGCCTAAACACAACCAAACATTGTAGAAGTAACCTTTAAAGTAGTGAATTTACAAATAGAAGAGATTTATATTATATATAAAAATACCCTCATATTGACCATATCTAAGATCCTTAAATCTAAGAATTAAAATTAAAAGTAGATGTTTCTGTTGCTCTCTGGTGAATTTTTTTCCTGATACTGGAGATTGAATCCAGGAATGCTATAACACTGAGCTACATCACGGCCCTTTTTATTTTTTGAGAGAGAGTCTCACTGAATTGCCCAGGCTGGCCTCAGACTTTTGTGATCTTCCTGTCTTAACTTCCCAAGTAGCTGAAATTATAGATATGGGATACCATACCTAGGGATCCCTCTGGTGATTTTTATGTGACAAAAATGCCTCAGATTTATTTATTTTTTATGAATATACTTTTTTTATAACAGTCTTCTAGAAAAATTAAGAAAATATTCCCCATACTCAGTTTCACCTTTTATTTACATCTTACATTAGTATGGATCTAATAACCCATTTTATTTTTACACTTGCCCAAATTAAATTCTGTAAGTCATCTCTGAGCTAAAAGCCTGTATTTTCTGAAAAATCAGCTAGAGATGAGTCTATTGATCATCTTCTGTAGATTTCCTATAGCATTCTTACTGTTTGGTTCACAGAGACATCATTTAATTATAATGGAGAATATTTTATGGGCTTTTTTTCTCTTCAGGAGGGCATTCTTCTTTCAACTCTCATTTTCCAACTTTCCTGAGATACAATTGGCAAAAATTGTAAATAGGGAGCTGGTCATATAGCTTAGTGATAAAGACCTGCCTAGCGTGAGTAAGGCTGTGTGTTCAATCCCCAGCACCACCAACAAAGGTAAAAGAAAATATACCAGTTAGTGTGATGGTTTGATATTCGTGCATATTTTATAATGATTACCACAATCAAATTAGTGAATATCTCCTTCAACACACAGTGAACATTTCTGTCTGTGTGTGTATGAGAGACAGAGAAGAAAAGAGATGACCTTTAAGGCATGCTCTTGGCAAATTTAAGTAAACAGTATAGTATTATTAACATAGTCGATGATGTACATTAGACCCCCAGAATATATTCATCTCACAACTGAAAGTTTATACTGTTTGACAACATCTGCCCGTTTCACTCACTCCTATAACAGGGACCTGTCCAAGATCCCCAACTGCCTGTATGAGGGATACAGTGAAGGATAAAGGAAAATCAGGGACAAATTTAGTAATGCCTGACAGGGGGCCTGGGAGGTCAGTGCCTCAGGATGGGCAGAGACAATGACACTTGGAGCTAGCCATTTTTTATTGGGTGTGCACAATAATTGGAGGGAGTATCAGATGATTTAGAGGCAGGTGGTGATGTTAAACTAATGAGGCTCTTGTCCTGTAGTAGCTTTAGTCTAATAGTCTTAGTCGTAGTCCTCCTGGCTCTAGTCTTAGTCTTAGTAGGTGGGAGAGGATGGCCCACCCCTAACGGGATAATGGGAAATTTCAAAAGGGTGACACCAGTAATCCAAGCCTCCATTCATTCCCTTAGGGAAGTGTGTAAAACTAGCCATTGTGAATTTGTGGTCCTCAACACTTCTCCCCTGGCTGCCAGTATTCAGCTCTATGCTTCTGTAAAGTCAATGGTTTTACATTTTATCCATAGCAGAATTTGTTTTTCTCTGGCTTATTCACATAGTAGCATAATGCCCTTCAGTTTCATTCTTATTGTCACAAATGGTAGGAGTTTTTTCTTATAGTGTAAGAATGTCCCAATGTGTATACCATATTTTCCATTTTCTTTATCCATTCATCATTAAGTGGACACTTCAATTGTTTCCTTGTGAATTGTGAACAGTGCTGCAACAAACATGGTAAGGAAGATGCTTGTTTGAGATACTGACTTCATTTCCTCTGGATGTGTACTCAAATGTGTGAATGCTGGGTAATAGTTGTCTATGTAATTTTTTAAGGGACCTTCATTGTTCTTATGGCTTATATCTAGATGTCCCCTTGCAAAGCTTTACACACTCATTGGGGCTTTTCAGAGCTGGCTGGATCTAGGGTGTGTGACTCTGGGATCAAGAGTGTGAGACACTAATTAAGCCCACTGATTGGAATTAGCTAGTTCTGGGAATGGCTGATGGATATACTGAAAACAGAAGCCCCACCCTGGGTGTGGCTGGCACCACCTAAAAGGTTTGTAACCAGGATGCATATAAAGTTCCAGAGAGAAGGTAGGCCCGCTGCCACTGCCACTCTGCTGCTTGCTACCTTCTGCCTGTCATACTATACACTGTTTCTCCTCTGCCATGTCCATCTAACATGCTGCCCTGCTTGGAACCAGCTGTGGACTGAAATCGCTACAAACTGTGAGCTAACTTTAACTTGTGGGTATCGAGTATTTTGTCCCAGCAATGAAAAAAATAAGTAAGACAGCAGTTTACATTCCAAGGAACACTAGACAGGGGATCCCTTTTCAGCATACCCTTTAATACTTGTCATCTCTTGTCTTCATGGTAGTAATTGTTCTCACAGGTGTGAGGTGATGCCTTCGGTTTTACTTTCCATTTCCCTGTTGAACAACGACATCAAGCACCTTTTCATGTACCTATTGCTATTTGTATGTCTTGTTTGGAAAAATGTCTACTCATGTCCTTTTTCCATTTTTAAAAAGGTTATTTGTCCATTTTACTATGATTTCCTTATATATTTTGGATGTTAACCATTAAATGCAGACATTTTTTCCCATTCCATAGGTTTGCTTTTCATTGGGGTGTGGTGTGGTTGTTTGACTTTTGTTTTAATTTAATTTTTATTTATATATGTTTGCAGTACATAAAATTACATTCATCATGGGTAGTAGGTGCATGTGTATAATACATCCTTTTTTTTTTTTTTGAGACAGGGACTTACTATGTCTTTCAGATTGACCTTGATCTCACTGTGACCAGGCTAGCCTTGAACTTGCAGGGATACTCCTGCTTCAGCCACTCAAGTGCTGAGATTACAGGCATGTGCCACCTACCTGGCAACTTTCCTAATTTTTTATGTCCCCTTTCCCCTTCCCTCTCACCCCATTACCTACATCTCTTGGTCCCCTTCCCTTTTGCAAAAATGTCTGTTTCCCTGTTTGTCTTTTACTTCACTCTTTATATTTTGGATTCTTCATATAAGAGAAACCATGTGATATTAGAGCTTGAGCATCTGATTTATTATCACTTAATATTATGATCTCAAGGTGCATCGATTTTCCTTTAATTGACTCAAGTTTATCCTTATGGCACAGTAGTACTCTATTGTGTATAAATGCCACATTTTCTTTATGCATTCATCTGTTTATGGATATGTAGGTGATTTTCAAGATTTAGCTATTACGAGTTGTGCTGCTATAACCATGGGTGTGCATATGTCATGCTAATTGGGAAGATAACTG